CGTAAAAGTTTGGAGAAAACATTAATTTATTTAACTCTCCATGTTCAGTTGTAAAAGTCCAAACTTGATCAGTGGAGTAGTGAACGGATAGTATAGTTAATGTTGAGCTGTAGTTACTTATTGAAGCTTTCGTAACATTTGCATTAAAATTTTCTGTCAGCCATAAAACAATTTTTTTCCATTAAAACTACTTGGCATGGTAAAAGTTTGAGTTATTTTATTGATAAATAAATTTACTGAATTGTTTGTTTTATCATAATTTAATTTTTATAAAATTTTATTGTTTGCTGGTATATGTTTAGTTAGGCTAAAACTCCTATTTCTCCAATGACAAAAAACAATACATAAACTATATTTCGAAAAATGTGAAGCAGAAAAATTAACATCATAACCATTAACATTTAAGCCATCTTTTTTTATATGACTTAGGTCTCTATTAGGTAGTGTAATATTAGGATTTAAAGAATTGAAAATAACTCCAGATGAGCCTCTACTTAATCCATACATATCCGCATCAGCAAAGTCTTAAAATTCTTCAAAATATTTTCTGTACAAAGCATTTTTGGTAAAAGGAATTAACTCTTTTACCATTCCAACTGTTGCAGCACTATTATCATTGTTTCGATCAAGTTTGGTATTTCTAATTGCTTTTTGATTTGCATTAATAACAACATTGTACTCCACTTCTGTTGGTTTAATATCAAATGCTGTGTGGTAGTCGTAAACTTTATCTGGGTCGATATTGAAGGCCTTTCCAACGATGCCATAAGCAATCATGTAAACCCCTGAAAACTGTCTCCGATACACCGCCAGGTCAGTTCCGTCCTGAGGAATATTAACAAGTATATGAAGAAAATAGGGGCTAGACGTTGTCTTGCGAAAATTAACTACCACCCGGTGATAATACATAAACTGTGGTTGATTTTTTGGATCAAGATACCTGCGGGAGTACCTCCTCACATTAACATTTTCACTAGTTAATCCTTTTGAGGTGCCTTTATCCACAGTTATTTGAGACTTATGCCATAGCTGATAATCAGTGTTGAGTATTTCTAAACAAAGGGTATAGTCAGCATTTGTAGTTAGTCTGTAAAAATTAATTCCCATCTTATATTTATAACCACCTTGAGAATTATTAATTATAGTCGTGTAAAGAACTTTGTGGTTATAGTCATGAAAGTTTCCTTTGTTTGGTGGTAAATCACCTATCTTTGTTATATTAAAACTATTTCCTCCATCGATTTCATCCGTCCATTGAATTGAGCTTGAATCCGATGATCTTTTAAAACAGGTGAGACGCCGAATAAAAGAAGCAACCTGGACAAAACAGAATCAGAGAGAAGGTTTTCGTGAGTCTTTTCAACCACTAATTTCACAGTTTGAAAAACCAAAGGAGGAGGATAAAACAGAAAATCTTTTTACTCAAAATCAAAAATTAATTCAAAATCAATTAGCTATCACAGAGGGTCTTAGAGCAAATCAAAAAGCAATTACAGACGGTCTTGAAAAGATTAATGAAACTAATGAAAGATTGGCTGATATGGTTGAGGTAGCAGGATATGAAGCTATTGACGCTCCAGAACCAGCGACTGTTGTCGCTGCCAAACCAACAACACAAACGAGTACTACCCCAACAGCAAAATTTAAAGCTGAAGACCTAGATAGATATTTAATGAGTAAAGAAGCACAAGATATACTAAAAATTAATGAATACCAAACTCCCTTCTGATTATTTTAAAGAAAATGTTTCTACTATTGATAAAGTAATTGATGATATTAACGAAGATTTAGAAGATACTACTAAAGCATTAAAAAATACTGCAGTTTTTGTACCTGACACAAACGGCTATGTTTTAGCTAAAGCAGTAAGTAAAAAACCACATGAAAATACAATAAATTTTATAAATAAATACAAACATATTAAGCATATATGCAACAAAGTTAAACAATCTTAAGTATTATAAAACAAAATCTGGTTCTGGAATTTTTTACTTTAACAACCCACAAGAAGTACTAAACAGACTTGAATTACTAGGTGGATCACTTGCCGCAGGAAACAATGGAGTATTTCCTGAATACATTCATATCGCGCATCGACTTAGAGACCTTGGAGTTATTAATAATCACCAACTTAATGAATTGTTAAGAAATTATATAAGATAATAAAATGAATGAAAGCGCTATTCATATTTCCTCTGTTAAACGAGAACATATAGGAAAAAAACAAACCTCATGATTTTATAGTTAAATTTAATCCCTCTCTAAAACTTGACCCAGGATTTAGACATTTTCCCGCCCTTGATCGACTGTCGATGACTTACTCTTGGTACAATATCAGAAGTGATTACAACAACAATACAAAAATAATACACCCATGATGGATCCACCTGGCAAACAATTACTTTAACAGATGGAATGTATTCCTACTCTGATATAAACGATTATATTCATCAGTACATGGATCAAAAAAGTCATCACTCAACAGACTCCAAAGGAGCAAAGGTGTATTCGATCAATCTGACTTTTATTCTGAGTACGTATCGAGTGTTAGTATTACTTGATGGTGATTATCAACTTGATCTGCGTGGAACAGATTTTGGAGACCTTATCGGATTTGAAAAGAAACTTGATAAACTCGAATAAACACAACAGCTATAAAGGACTCCGTTGTAAATGGAGTAAATACAAACACAATTGCCGTTATACCAACTGATAATCTCACGCGATCGTTTCCATTCACTTTCGAACCGCGAAGGGAGTTGTACTGCCCTGTGAGTTCTCATTATATTTCTGAAATGAGAATATATGTAACTGATTCACTTGGCCAGCCTGTTGACCTCAATGGAATTGATTGGTTTATGACACTGTTGCTTCGCCATACTAAAGAAAATTCTTTAGCATAATTCTTTAGCATAAACCCCTTCCCTTAGCTACGCCGTTTATTATAGAATATACTTCCTTGGATACGCAAATAATATATGAAGATGTTGTTTTTGATCTGGAACAAGCTATTAATGTGGCTGCAGCAAACAACACCGACCAAGAGCGGAATAATCTTAAATTTATCGCTGACAATTCAGGTGAAGTCACTCCATTTGATTGGTATAATGCTAGAATAGCGCTAGTTTATAAAGTTCAGCAGCGGGATGGAACTAACTTCGCCATTCCAGCCAATGCAGTAGCAGATGAAATTTTAGCAGCAGCAAGAGGTAATTATAACACATACGCAGATGACCAAATGGGAATTGTAAATGGAGCAAATAGTTTTATTTCAAAATTATCAGTATTAGCAAATGGTAAGGAACTGTATCAGTGTAATTACGCCAATCATAGTGTAAATATAAAAAAAAATTACTTGAGTATAACAAATCCTACGCTGACAGTGTCGCAACAAATGAATTTTACTTTCTGGATACATCAAAAAACGCAATAAAAATAGATTTATTAGAAAACAAGTTGGTCGTCGAAAAAATGAAGCTGGTAATGCTGATGCAGAAGGCCTTATGTTAGATAATGTTTCTGGAACTTATAATGAGGGATTTTCAAAACGAAAAGCTTTACTTGGAACTTCAGGCATAGTACACTGTGAAATTCCTCTCAACCGTTACTCATTCTTTGAGGCACTCGAAGATAAACTACTTCCAAACACTAAAATCGAAATAAACTTTGAGATGGAAAAAGATGATAATCTTATATGGAGGACTGGTGGAAATCGATGCCGAGTAGTTATCACTCGTCTTCAACTTTTTGTGCCTCGATTAGTATTCAATTCAGAAGGAGATTTATATGAGTGAGTATCTCAAACCATACAAATGGACTTATCTCAATGAAGTTGTTCAACCTAACGTCACGGGAAACCAGAGAGTTGGTAATTTTAGAATTACAAACGGAATTTCAAAACCACGCCATGTATTTGTTTTTATAATCAATGCTGCAAATATCGAAGAACAGACAGCAAATCCATTTCTGTATAATACTTTCAGTGTTTATACGAATCCGAGCACTCTCGTTAGATGTTATCTTGAAGTTGGAAATGGAAACGAGTACCCTGATATTCACTACAAACCTTCATCAGATCCTTCAAGAGTTTTTAGAGATGTAATGTCTTACGTATATACCAACAATGGTTTTCAAGGTGGAACACTTCTTAATAGACAAAATTTTAAAAATATATTCCCTTCTGTGTATTTCGATCTGACTAAACAAAACTAGATATAAAAGATGGTGTTACAAAACTAGCGTTTCATTACGAGCTATCTGGAGCGACTGCTACAAATTACAATATTTACGCTTTAGTACTTCACGAGCGAGAGGCAGAAATCGAACAGCAAAATGAAAAACTACTGCTTCGTGCGTAAAATAATATAATTTATTAAATAAAATGACAACTTATTTTGAATATCGAGTAAAGCTTACACCCAATCAAAAATCAAAACTGGCTTCTGCAATTAGAAATAAATCACCACTGACTATAAGATTAAAACATAATCAACTTAGTGGTTATGACGAGTTAATGCTAACAGAAAGACAAATTGCTAAAATAGAAAAATCTATTGCAAATGGAACAGGAACAGATATAAAGATAAGCAGAACACAGGTTAGGCGATCAGTAAAACATGGTGGAAACTTATTCACTAGTCTTGCATCTCTTTGAGCGCGATTGCTTCCTTACGCGATAAAAGGAATTTCAAAAGTAGCTCCGGCATTGGCTACTGGAGCCGCATCGGCACTAGGAGATATAGGAATAAAAAAACTATTTGGCCAAGGAATAGCTATGCCAAGTATCACAACTCCCAAAAGGTTTTTCCCAATGTTACCACCTATTGCAAAAGAACTTACCCAAGCTCAAATAAACCAAATTAACAGAGCTTATTAATCAGGCGGCCGATTAGTTATTAAACCAACCCGTAAATAAATAGAAGGAGGATTTCTTGGAACACTTGCCTCTATTGGGATTTCAGTGGTGATTAGTTTAGTTTCAAAGATGTTTGTACTCTGGAATGTCCGCGGGGGCGGGACTTCAAGTTGACCGAGGAGCGTCTAGTAATACGAGAAATGTTTATGTTCCACCATCTCCACCATCCACACATGGTGAGGGTTATCCTTATCGTTCGCCACCCTTTTTTGGTACATGGGAAAACCCGATAGGAATGGGGGTTAAAAAAAAAAAAAGTCCAAAGGAAAAGGTCTACTACTTGGAAAAAAGTAGGGTTCATTCCCATATTAGGAACCATTTTGTAATTCTCTTGGCTACGCAAATCAGCACTTTGTAATTAAACCGTTGTCCAACTTTGATCTTATGGATTGGGTTGACAAACTTAAAATAAAACATCTCAGAGGAGTGTACAATCGCGATGGGCTACCGCAAAAGATTACAAAAGAATGTGGAATAATCAACCTCGATGATATTCAAGGCGCCGGCACACATTGGGTTTGTTACAGAAATCTGGATTCAGTAGTCGGGTCTCTCCCTGTGGTCGAGTATTTCGATCCATTTGGTTTAGTTATGCCATATGAAGCATTAGAGTATTTTCGTACAGCTAGAAAAAAGATAGTTTACTCGATCGATGAAATACAAAACAGAAGTACTGTTCTTTGTGGTTACTGGTGTTTATATTATTTATGCGAGAGACAGCGAGGTAATCGTATTCTAGACATAATACCTAACCCGCATTTTGATAATGACAATAGTGATTTCATAAAGGAATACCACTCGTGATATTTCAAAATTGTCTCAAATTTCACCCGCCTAACGGCTCGTGAAATTGTGTATAACAATTTCGAAATATCACTCGTGGTATTTATGCCAAACATTACGTACAAATCATGCTATTATTTGTTTATACTACTACCCGCAAAGGTTTTGTAATTTTCACATGAAGGTATTTCAAATTAAGCTGAAATACCACTGATCTAAGCCAATCAAATTGCAGAAATTTCCCATGTAGTAGTATAATAGACATAATACATAACCCGCATTTTGATAATGACAATAGTGATTTCATAAAGGAATACTTCTCTGGGGGAAACCCCCAATGGGTAAACCCCTAGAAAAAGATTACTACAATATTAGAGATTAAAAATTATATTCAATATAAATATTTTTTTTGTAATACTTTGCTATTATTGTAGTAACCTTTTACTCTTCATCCATTGGCGCGTCTTTTAGCTCTTTAATCTCACCAACTTTCTTATTTAAATCTTTTACATTGTCAACTATATCATTAAAGTTTGAGTAAATATCAATAAGTCTAAACAACTTCTTCTTTTTATCACTGTTTAATTTTAACCAAGAACAATTTCCATTTCTAATATTTTCCAACATTTCACATTCACCACTAGTTAGTATTCTAGAAAGATCATCATTTGTTTTTCTCAAACTTTCAAACTCATGATTTATTTTAGTTCGGACTTCTTTCTCAAAATCTTTGACTTTTTTGACATCCATATCTTTTTCGATCTCAGAAAAAAACTTAGCCTCCATTTTATTAATAGGTTAGATAACTTCCTTTTACAACCTGTCGAAGCGTATTTGATTTCTCACTTATTTCCATAAGCAACTCAAATATTTTTATAAACCGCCTGTCATCTTCCACTTGAGAATAATCTGTGTATTCAAAACTCGCATTTAACAGATTATAAATCTTTTCAAGTTCGCCTTTTACAAACTTTGCTCGATGCTTCATTTTAGTTAACGCTGTTTTATCTGATCATTACTAAATGAAAGAATCATATTGTATTGTAGATAAAAAAGTAACTCCTTGCACAGAGCCAAATGTTTACCAGAAAGATAAAAGAGGGCGTACTCAGTTCTTTTGAAAATGCGCATTTTGTGGAACTAAAAAAGTTAGATATGTAAAAATAGGATCAGTGCCACAAACCGGAAGTGGAATGAAAACTAAAAGAAAAACTAAAAAGAAATCAAAAAACTAATAAGCCCGTCTGAAAGGGCGGGCAAACAAACTGGAGGTGATGTCTTTGACACTGTTGTCGGCACAGCCGCAGATGCATTTGTTGAATATGCTTTGCCTTGGATGGGTCGCAAAGCAGTTGAAATGGGACGATATGGAACAAGTGAATTAATGAGAAAAAAACTACAAAAAGAAAGCTGTAAATTACGGGATTAGTAAACTAACTCCTCTGATTCAAGATTCTGTTTGAACAGCAATGGATCAGCTGTCAACCAAAGTTAGGCCAAAGAAAAAGTATAAAATCTGTACATTGTGATGTTGCCATAAGTAAGCCTTCATTTCAGACATTTCAAAACTAAATCCTTGGACGCTGAGAGCCTATCGAACGATGTAGTACTTACAGGGCTATGTAATCGAGGTCATAGCGATCCCATCACCCCACTGGACTTGGATGTACTTGTAGAGGATTATACGACCACACTCTCTCAAGTTCTTGATCGTCGCGCACCTTTAAAAACCAAAACAGTGCGGGCTAGGCCCAAGGTACCCTGGTATACCAGTGAGATAGCTGAGGCAAAAAGGCGACGCCGGAAAGCAGAACGGAGATGGAGAAGAACACGATCACAGGAGGATTTGTTGGCATTCAAGAAACTCAAGAACCACGTTACTTATTTAAGTACACGGGCTAAGCGTGCTTTCTACCCAGACTTTGTGAACGACAATAGTGAAGACCAAGGAAAGCTATTCAGGGCTACTCGTGGATTGTTACTTCCGAGGAATGAGTTGTGTTTTCCAGAATACACGGACAACTCAATCTTAGCCAACGATATCGGGCGGTTTTTCGACCGTAAGATTGCAAGAGTCGGGCAGAGCTTGATGCGTGTACTCTTCATCCTGGGGCGGTGGCTGAGGATAAAGTGTTTACAGGCGATAAGTAGTATAGGAAAATGGGTAGTCTGGCTCAGTCTTCTGTTATTGAAAAAACAACTCAACACACTAAAAAAATCCCAGAATATGCAAAAGACTTCAAAAATGAATGGCTTTACATAAGAGGGATTAATAAGAAGTGTGGTGAGTTTATGCAAATTCTTGGAGACAATACTGATTCTTTTGAAAAAGTTTTTTGGTCTTCAAGAGCAAAAGAACTTATTAAACACTTTAAAGATGTTTTGAAGGCTCAAAAAGTTGGGAAACTTCAAAATATTAGTAAATTAAAGTTCAAATTAAGTGCTGTTAGTAAAATAATTGATCTAAGATTTGACCTATATTTTCATATGGGAAACATTTTTTATGCTGACTTTTTTGAAGATGATGAATTTCAAGATTTTTTTGAGAATTTTATAATCTTCACTAACAATGTTAACATTACATATGAAGAAAAATTTGAAGATGATCTTTTTGAAGAATATATTGGGGTATATAAAGAAAGTGAAAGTGAAAGTGAAAGTGAAAGTGAAAGTGAAAGTGAAAGTGAAAGTGAAAGTGAAAGTGAAAGTGAAAGTGAAATTGAAATGCTAGGAGAACTTGAAAGTGAAAGTGAAAGTGAAAGTGAAAGTGATTAAAAAAAAAAAAAAAAGCTTAAAGTCTTATAATCTAATTATAAGATTATAAGACGTCATGTCTAACCAAGCAAATGGTTCGTGGGGTAGTACACCCTTTGTTACAGATAAACAATTTCATAATTTGTCTTTAGATGAAATAAAAAATTTAATAGAAGAAGAAAAAGAAGGACTTAAGAAAGATTATAAGGAATTAGGATCAAGAAAAAGATTAATTAAACAATATAAAAAATTGGTAGAAGCAAGAGAAAAAGTAAGAAAAGGTATTGATATAAAAAAAGAAATTAAAAAACCTAAAACCCCCGTTGTGGAGACTCAACATTATAAAAAGAAAAAGATAAAAACATTTGATGAGTATTTTGAGGAATGTATAAAAAATAGAGAGATTCCCAAAGATACTCCTCCTTATTTACGTAAAGCTCTTGAGCGTGCTATTTTTGAACATTATGAATTAGGACTTGAAAAAGAAAAATCATCTCTTGAAGACTTTGCTGTTAAATATATTATTCGAGGAATTTTTGGTCTTACTCCAATGGCGTTTTTTGAAAGAATAAATAAAAATTTAAAAGATTTTTTTACATATCATCGAAATATAAAATTTAAGATGGTATTGGTTTGTATTATGGAAAAACAAAATATTTCACAAAGTGAAGGTGTTATAGGAATAGAAGAAAATAAAGCTTACTTTCATACAGCAACACATATTAATATTAAATCAACAGATGTTGACAAATTAATTCAAATATGTAAAGATGCTATTGACGCAAATATTGAAACTTATCAAGAAGCCGGAAGTGGATGGCATTTTAAAGAAGTTGATAAACTTGAAATTCATACTGTTGAATATAATCCAACGAATGGGTCGTCTTACATTCCTCTTCCTGATTGGATATCAAATAAAAAAGCAATAGTTAATATTCAAAACAAAGATGAAAAATGTTTTCTTTGGTGTATACTAAGATATCTTTATCCAAGAGAAGATAATGATTCAGGAATAACAGATTTGAAAAAGTATGAAAATTCTCTTAACACTAATGGAATTACTTTCCCTATGAAATTAAAAGATATTTCCAAATTTGAAAAACTTAATCCAGAACTTCCAGGAATAAATGTTTTTTCAGTTGATAATTATATTTTTTATCCTTTGAAAATGACAGAAAAAGACTGTATAAATACTATTGACTTATTTTTATATGAAGAAGATGGTGTTTCACATTATACTCTAATTAAAAATTTTAATCGTTTGATTAAGTCTCAAAAAACCAAAAGTAATGAAAAAATATTTATTTGTAAAAAGTGCTTTACTCATTACACTAAAGAAGAATTATTAAAAGAACATATTTTATATTGTTCAAATAATGAAACAGTGGTTGTCAAAATGCCTAAACCAAAAACAATGTTAAATTTCAAAAATTACTACAAACAACTTCCTATTCCTTTTGTAGTTTATGCAGATTTTGAATGCTTTACTAAACCATTAAATAATTGCAGCCCTAACCCAGAGAATTCTTATACTTATAACTACCAAAAACATGAACCTTCAGGATTTTGTTTGTATATTAAGGGAATAGTACCAAATATAAAAATTAAACCAATTATTTATACAAAAAACAATAATGATGATAATGTAGCTGAGATATTTGTAAATAAACTCGAAGAAGTAACTAAAAGTATTTATAATGATTTTTATCTTCGACCAAAACCTCTTTGTTTAACAAAAGAAGAAAAAATATCATTTAATAAAGAGAATTTTTGCCACATTTGTAAGATGGAATTAAAAACTGACAAAGTTAGAGATCATTGTCATTTTACAGGACAATACCGTGGAGCTGCACATAACAAATGTAATCTTAAGTGTAGGAAGCCAATGATTCTTCCAGTTATATTTCATAATCTTCAAGGTTATGACGCACATTTGTTTATAAAGCAACTTGCTTGTTTACAAGGTGATTTAAACTGTATTCCATCAACAGAGGAAAAATATATTTCGTTTTCGAAAAAGATTAAAGTTGATGAGTATAAATCTAAAAGTACTGGAGAAATGGTTTCATTGAATTTTGAAGTACGATTTTTAGATTCATTCAAGTTTCTTCAAACATCACTTGCCAATCTTGTTTCAAATTTATTAAAAGAAGATTTTCATAATACAAATCATGTATTTAAGAAAAATGTAGATCTACTAACTCGTAAGGGAGTTTATCCTTATGATTATGTTTCCTCATTAGAAAAACTATCTGAAAAAAAGCTACCTCCAAAAGAAGAATTTTACTCCTACTTAAATGATGAAGGTATATCAGATGATGATTATCAACATGCTATTAATGTTTGGAATACTTTTAATTGCGAAACAATAAGAGATTATCACGATCTTTACTTAAAGTCTGATGTTTTACTTTTGGCGGATGTATTTGAGAATTTTAGAAAAACTTGTCTCCACCATTACAATTTGGATCCAGCACATTATTATACATCCCCCGGTCTAGCATGGGATGCTTGTCTAAAAGAAACAGGTCAAGAATTAGAACTATTGTATGATTATGATATGTTAATGATGTTTGAGAGTGGTATACGTGGTGGAATAACACACATATCAAAAAGATATGCGGAAGCGAATAACAAATATATGAAAGATTACAATCCTGATAAGGAGTCTAGTTATATACAATATCTCGACGCAAACAATCTTTACGGTTGCGCAATGTCTCAACAACTCCCAACACATGGATTTAAATGGATGAAAGATATAACAAAAGAAAAGGTAGTGGAAATTCTAGAGAAAACAAATCATAGTATGTTTAATAAAAGGAAAAAAGGATATGTATTTGAAGTTGATTTAGAGTATCCTCCTAACCTATGGGAAACACATAATGACTATCCTTTAGCACCAGAGAAGATGAATGTAAATGGTGTTGAAAAGTTAATTAGTCATTTCAAACCAAGAAAAAACTATGTTGTGCATTATCGTACTCTTAGACAATGTCTTGAGTTGGGTATGAGAATTACTGCTGTTCATAGAGGAATATCATTTTATCAGTCTCCTTGGATGGAACCATATATCAGAAAAAATACTGAACTTAGAATGCGTGCAGTCAACAATTTTGAGAAAGACTTTTTTAAATTAATGAACAATAGTGTTTTTGGAAAAACAATAGAAAACATAAGAAAAAGACAAAATATAATTCTGGTGGATAATCGTAAGAAAGCTGCAAAATTAACAAGTCGTCCAAACTTTGAAAGAGCAACAATATTTGATCGCAATCTTATCGCAGTTCATATGCAAAGGACTGAAGTTTATTTTAATAAACCAGTATATGTTGGTCAAGCAATTTTAGATTTATCAAAAACACTAATGTTCAATTTTCATTACACATACATTAAAGAGAAATATGGTAAAAAAGCAGAATTATTGTTTACAGATACGGATAGTCTTATTTATCTAATTAATACAAAAGATTTTTATAAAGATATAAGTCCTGATATTTTAAGCAAGTTTGACACGTCTGATTATCCTTCCAATCATGAATCTGGTATACCAACAGGAGTAAATAAAAAAGTTATAGGAATGTTTAAAGATGAAGTAGCAGGAAAACAGATAACACATTTCGTTGGATTGCGTCCCAAACTTTATAGTTTTAGAATTGAAGATGAAAGGGAAGTCAAAAAGTGTAAAGGAGTAAAGAAAAATGTTGTGAAAAAGAAATTAGATTTTGATGATTATGTTAAATGTCTATTTACAGGTGAGAAAGAAATGAGAAGTATGAAAATAATAAGAAGTGAAAAACATGATATATATTCTAAAGAAGTTAACAAAATAGCTCTAAGTAATGAAGATGATAAGCGCATTGTTTTAGAGGATAAAGTGCATACTTTGGCTTTTAGATAAAAAAATTATTTAAAAGTAAATAAAGTATTAAATAATAAATGTCTTATACAGAAGAAGAAATAAAAAAATATTTAGCTATACTTCATAATTATAAAAAACCTATTCAACAAGTTAGTAAAAAAGCACAATGTTTAAATTGTAAAAATACTGAATTTTTTACAATAGATTCTGGCCTCAAAATTTGTGAAAAATGTGGTGCAGAAAACGGTCATGTATTAGGATTATTTGATGTAAAAGATTTGGATAGGTTGCATTATAGAAAAAAGAGTATTTACCATAGGAAATACCACTATGAGAAAAAGGTAAATGAAATTTCTAAAAGAATAAACCTAACTGATGAAGAAAAATGTGAACTTTACGATAAACTAACAAAAATAGATAATAATATCATGGAAATACTAAACAAGCAATACTTCAGAAAGAGAATGATAAATATTAATTATTTAACCAAAAAAATTTTGGAGGAGATGGGTTGTGAAAAGTATAAACTTATTGAACTTAAGATTAGTTTTCTAACTTTAGAGATTTATGAAAAATGGTGGGATTGTTATAAAGGGTTAAATAAATAATTTTATATTTTTAAAAATATAAAATTTAATCTTTTATAATTTGAGAGAGGAGTGTCAGTGAGATCTCTTAATAGATAACTTATTTTAGAGTCAGTGGGTTTTTTAATAGATAAGTATAACAATTTTTACAAATACACACTAGCTTGCATCCTTTTCAAAATCAACTTCATAATCATCAATTCTATCCTGAAAAAATAATGATCGGGCTAATAAAAATAACTCTTCATTATTTGATAAATTTAACAATTTTTTATCATATTTCATGTTTATTAATATTTTAATACTATTTTGTGCCATTTTTAGACGAAAATACACCCTTTGTTTTTCATCAAATTCATTTAGTTTAATTTTAAGGCATTTTTCAAACTCTTCAATATTATGTTTTACTAGTTCAAAATACCTTTTTTCAAAACTTTCATTACTTTCTCCTTTAATATCTTCAAGAATAGTAGCAATTTGTTGATGGGCTTCCATTTTATTTAATAAATATATAAAAAATTTTTTTCTAAAATAATTCACATCTTCAAGACTACATTTATATAATGTCATTTCATATTTTGGTTTAACTGTAGGTTCTTTTAATATTAACTCATGAATTGGACTTAAGTTACACCTTTTATGATCATTATGTCTTTTCATAAGGTCTAATGAACTAGTATAACCTATATAATATTTTTGTGAAGCTGGAAAGTAATAAGAGTATAAATGAAAATTTTGTTTGTGGATGTGTGCCATTTATTAAAATAGATTATATATTTTTTTAAAAAATATAAAATTTAATCTTTAGAGATAAGTATACCCAGTATCAAATACACTAAAAATATCTAAAAATGATTATATTATTCCTTTATGAAAACACCAGTAAATTATTCCAGTTAGATAACCAAGTACTTCACATTCTTTGAAAGGTGAGTTGATTGCATACACACATCCTCTTCCAATCCTATAGTGTTTCCAGAAAGCTTTAAAAGCTAGGCTGAATATTAGATGGTTTGTAATGATATTTGAATCAGAATTTAGGTAGTGTTTTGCTTTTGTCAGTCTGTAAATAATTTGATCTATGTCTAGTTTTTGAGAGAAATACTTTGCGTAGAGAAATTGGTATATTAGACAAGCTTTAATGAAGTTATCTGGATAAAATTGTGTTTTATAAGTTGAAAAGTAAAGATTAACATATTCTACAATTGTACTAATCATTTCTATCTTATGAATAGATAGAAATGCCACCGTACCCAAAATGGGGGTGGAGAACTTTTAAAATCCAAATGTTGGGGGTATGAAACACCCCCCAATGTGGGGTGGGGGGTTTCAACATTTTCTATTTAATTTAAATAGAAAATATTTTTCCGTCGAATCGACGGGTCAGGTCAAGAGATGGATTATATATTCATGTAAGTGAAAATCACAACCAGCACGAAACGCACTGTTGCTCTATGACTTATTTTTTAGAAACTGTTAAAAATATTTAATTAATGGGTTTTTATAAAGGGGGCGTCCAGACGACGGGGGGTTTAAACTTAGTATTTTAATCTATATTTTCAAATTTTTTTTTATACTTCTCTACAAAGTTATCAGCACTTGATGGGCAATGATCAATTATTATTTCATCTAATATTTTAATACGATCTATAAATTCTTCCTTATTCCACTCATCTCCTCTGAGTGCTGATCGTAATTCAACTAGCACTTTCTCATAAGTAGTATAAGCCAGCTTTGATGTTTCTATCTTTTTCTTAAAATCCTTCTTTTTTGCTATCCCACCCACAATTATTCCTGCACCGTTGATTACTCCAAGAATAATAGGATTAAGTGTCAACCCTCCTGTGATAGTGCCTACAGCAATAAGAGACAAACTAGAAATAGTAAAAAAATTATCTAGAAATTTATAAGATTTATAAGATTTCTTATAACACCAATGTTTTTTATGGTAATGTTTATAAAGGTCTTTTATAGTTTCTCTTTGCTCTTCTGATAAAGATTTATCAATATGATTAAATTCAAAAATACTCTTTTTTTTAATACTATTTCTTTTCATTTATATTTAGATTACATAACTTCCATTTAACTTTTCTTGAAGCATTACTTTGTGAAATTGCTCAGAGCCGATGTCGTAAAATTTTAGAGAGTACATTAATCTTAATATCACTCCATCTTCAGTTGTAAACTCCCAACGTTGATTAGCATTGTATTGAACAGCTGGTATAGTTAATGTTCCGCTGTAGTTACTTATTGAAACTTTTGTAACATTTGCACTAAAATTTTCTGTTAGCCATAAAACAATTATTTTTCCATTAAAACTACTTAGCATGGTAAAATTTTGAGTTGTTTTGTTGACAGTTAAAGTTACTTTATTGTTTGATTTATTGTAATCCAATTTTACTAAAATATTATTGTTTGTTGATAAATATTTAGTTAGGGTAAAACTCCTATTTCTCCAATGAGTAAAAACAATACATAAAGTATTTGTTGGGGAATATGAAGGATTAAATTTAACATCATAAGCATTAACATTTAATCCTTTTTCTACTATTTCACCTAGGTCTTTATTAGGTGGTAGTGTAATGTTTGGTTTTAAAGAATTAATAATAACTCCAAATGATCTTATATTTATTCCGTAAATATTTGCATCAGCAAAGTCATAGAACTCACTAAAGTATGATCTATAAAAAAAATTTTTAGTAAAAGGAGCTAGTTCTTTTACGAATGCAACTGTTGCAGCACTATTGTTACTGTTTCTATCGAGATTAATGTTTAATATTTTTTTATTATTTGCATTTATATCAACATTGTACACTACTTCTGTTGGTTTAATATCAAATGCGGTGTGATAATCGTAAACTTTATCTGGATCGATATTGCTAAATGTACCCACAATTCCATAAGCAATTATGTAAACCCCTTGAAAAATTAGCGGATATTTCGCAATGTTATATTCTCTTTTTGAAATATCAACAAGAATGTGAAGAAAGAACCTTTTACCAGATGACAACTTCCGGAAATTAATTATTATTCTGTGGTAGTACATAGTTTGTGTTTGCCCTTTTGGATCAGTATACCTATGGGATAGTTTTCTTATACCTACATTTCCAATTGATAATCCTGTTGAAGTTCCTTTGTCAACACTTATTTGAGTCTCATTCCAAAGATTATAATCTGTGTTGAGTATTTCCAAACACAACGTGTAATCAGTATTTGCAGGTAGTCTGTAAAAATTAATTCCCATCTTATACTTATATTTACTTTTAATTTTAAGTATATACATGTAAATAACTTTGTGATTATAATCGTGAAAGTTGCCTTTGTTTGGTGGTAAGTCATCTATCCTATTTATAACAAAACTAGCTCCTCCATCTATTTCATCAGTCCATTGAGACCCACTTGACATAAGATAAGCAAACTCATTTTTATAATGACTTGGTTGAACTGCATTTTTTTGAACTAGTTTGTCGACGTAATTTTTGGTTGCCGCTTCATTGTCTTGGGTTGGCTTACTAAGATTTAATATTTTATTGTTGTTAAGATTCAAGTTTCCAGTCATAGCGGTGGTACCATCTCTTTTCAAATAAGTAAATAAATTAAACCCAGTAGTAAAATCAACATATCCTTTGTTTGCAGCATCTGTGTTTGACACTGGAATTGCGAGACCAACTATTTTATTATTACCAACATTAAGATTACCAGTCATAGTGACGCTACCATCTTTTTCCAAGTAATCACTTAAATCTGGACTTCCACTATTATCATCAACATATTTCTTTGTTGCAGCATCTGTATTTGATGTTGGAGTTGCAAGACCAACTATTTTATTACTTCCAAGATTAAGGTTACCAGTCATAGTTACTGTACCATCTTTTTTCAAATAATTACTTAAATCTAAACCACTTCCACTACTTCCACCGGAAGAAGTTTTATCATCTACATACTTTTTGGTTGCGGCATCAGTATTTGATGTTGGAGTTGCAAGACCAACTATTTTTTTGTTTCCAAGATTTAGGTTACCAGTCATTGCAACACTTCCATCTTTTTTCAAATAATTACTTAAATCTGGAGCAACTGTGTTATCATCTACATATTTTTTTGTTGCTGGTTCACTGTTTGTTGTAGGTGTTCGAAGATTTAGTATTTTGTGACCGCCAGTGTTGAAGTCTCCAGTCATTACTACACTTCCATCTTTTTTTATAAAAGAACTAGTATCAGGTATTGCATCATCTACATACTTTTTAGTTGTTGCATCAGTGTTTGATGTTGGCGGTCTAAGGTTAATTATTTTTTTATTATCCATGTTTAGATTATTAGTCATTTTATTTGTTCCAGCAACATGTAGATACTTCAAATCTGTGAAAGCTAATGGTGTTGGTTGATTACTACCATTTGGAGCTGGCAGATTTAATATTCGATTGTTGTCCATATTAAGATTTCCTTTCATTGGGTAAGATCCATCTCTGTCAAGAAATGTGTTGTCTACGTAATATTTTGTTGCTGGATCTTTAGAATCCTGTGGTGTGATAAGATTTTTAATTCTGTAATTATCCTTCATATCAATATCTGAATCAACTATTAGTCGTGATGTTGAGGGAGTTCCAGTGGAAATGTCATCAACATACTTTTTTGTTGCAGCATCAGTATTAGCACTAGGTGTACCAACATTTCTTAGTTTTTTATTTATCATATCATAATCACCACTTGAAGTGAGATTAAATCCAACTCCTGGTGCTCCTTGTATTCCCCTAGCAAAGGTATGATCTGAAGATTGTTCGTTAAATATTCCCATTTTAATTATTGTTTACATAATTGATCTATTCTATCATTAAGACGAGTAAAGAGTCTATCGACATATTCTTTATTTACTGTGTCGAAGTTTGAAAGTGGTTCTTTAATATTAACTATCTTATTACCACCAAGATCAAGATCTCCTTTCATACAAATTTTTCCATCTTTTTTTAAGTAATCGCAAAGATCATAATAATTCTTCGTTACAGTTTGATTCATTTTATTTATTGTTTAGATAATCTGTAAAGTTTTTTGCAATACGTTTTTTTGGTTTATCAACATATAGAAATGAATACGGTTTTTTAGTTGCTGATTTATAGTCTTCTTTATTAACTCCCAACTCAGATGATATTCTATTAGACTCCCTCGATGATGGAAATTCGTACAGGCAGTAATGAGAACAATTCAGCCGAATGTCCTTTGGTGTTTTATAAAACGATTGACTGAGATACACCACCGAACAATTCTTATGTCGTCCTTGAATAAAATAATCAATCAGTTGTCTCTGGTTTTTATCACAAACATAGTCATCGAATATCACAAGTTTTTGGTTGTCTTCGTAATCCATTTCTGACACTGGGATTATTTCATCATTACTTACATGAAGTATTTCACATCCCAGTTTATGACTTATCTCCCTCATTTTTTGAATTAGCTTTTGGTATTTATCCTGTTCTAAATTACGCGCGTAAAGATAAATCTCATCATAATATAGAAGAGGTTTAATTAACATATGGTACAACAAATTAGTCTTACCACTTCCACTATTTCCACAGATTAACATCCGAAATGTATTTGATGGCATATAAGGAAATAACTGTTTATATTTTTTATTTGGGTTGTCACCACTATCATAGTTTGGTATTTCCATTTATCTAAAGAATATATAAATGAATATTGAAGAATACAAAAAACTTGCAAGAAATAAAATTGAAGCTGATGCTTTGACTCGACAGGTGAGAGATGTTATAAAAACAACAAAATGGCAAAAACAAGACGCTCGGGAAGGTTTCAGAGAGACATTTAAACCACTTATTAAATCTCAAGATAGCATTAAAAAAAGTATTGATGAGCAGCAAAACGCAAATATAGCACAACTTAAAAAAAATCAACTTGCTCTTACTCAAGGTTTTGAACAGTTTAATCGGTTAGCTGATATGAGAGAATTACCATATGTTGGAGAAGATTTGGGTGATTATGATAATGTAACAGGTTGGAATGAAAATTGGGTACCACAACCCAGTCCTCCAGAGGATAGATATTTAGATTTAGAAAAAAACTTTGACGGTAATGATCTAGGTATATTAAGAGAATATGGATATCCAAGACCAAATGATTTTTTTGAAATTAATCCTAAAGATTTAGATCTAACTTTAGAAGAATTAAAAGGTAATATAAAACAACTAACTGGTGAANATTTCCTCAATTAATAGGGAAAAAAGAGGAACAAGCAAACCTGGTGATTTTACTATTAAGTTTAATCCATCTCTAAAACTTGACCCTGAAAAGAAACATCAACTTGCTCTTGATCGGTTGTCCATGACTTATTCTTGGTACAACATTAGAAGTGATTATGACAACAATAAAATCAAATATACTCACGATGGTACCACCTGGCAAACAATTACTTTTACAGATGGAATGTACTCCTACTCAGATATCAATGATTACATTCATCAATATATGACACAAAAGACTCATCATTCAACAGATTCAAGTGGAAAAAAGACTTATTCAATCAATCTAACTTTTATTCTCTCTACATATCGAGTGTTAGTATCACTTGATGGTAGTTACCAACTTGATCTAAGAGGAACAGATTTTGGAGACCTAATTGGATTTGAAAAGAAACTTGTTACTAAAACAGAGTATGGCACAAAACTACCAAATATAACAAACTCGATTGATGTATTGAATATTAACACAACCGCAATAACTAATAGCATTGTAAATGGAATAAATACAAATACCATTGCTGTAATACCAACAGATAATCTCACAAGGTCTTATCCATTTACATTTGAACCTAAAAGACCATTGTATTGTGATGTCTCTTCATTTCACATTGATGAAATGAGAATTTATGTTACAGACTCACTTGGAAGACCAGTAAATTTTAATGGTATAGATTGGTTTATGACTTTGATACTCCACTCAATGTAATATAACTATTAAAATAAAATGATGCGACAATCAGAGTTTAAAATGAAACTTGACCCTGAATTGGGAAGATATACAAGACAACATATTTATGGAGAAGGAATGATGGATGTGTTTAAATCAGTTGGTAAAAAAATATTTGGAAAGACAATGAAAAAAGCTGCTAAAAAAGGTGCTGAAAAAGCAGTGACAGCAGCTGCAACAAAAACTGGTGAACATGCTGGTAAAAAGGTTGGTGATAAGATAGTTCAAATTTTATCCAAAGGGGAGGTAAAATCCACCCAACCCCCTGCAAAAAAAGTTACTTTTAATAAAAATGTTGAAAAAATAAGACAACAAGAAATAGATCAATCATTAACTAACCTTCTTAGTGGAGGCTCAACACGAAGGAGAAAAATTATATAATTATTAAAATAAAATGAAGTCTTTTAGAAATCCAAAATATTTAGATAGATATGAGGATGTTGTTTTTGACCTGGAACAGTCTTTAGATACAGCCCCAGCAAATAATGCTCATCAAACTAAAACAGGTCTTAGATTTGTTGCTGATAACACAGGAGAAACTACTCCTTTTGATTGGTATAACGCAAGGCTGTCAATGGATTTTAAAGTAAATAAGCTGGCAGATGGAGGAAATTTAGCGATTGCTGACCATAACGGAATTGTAAATGGTAGTAACACATTTATAGAAAAATTAAGTATCCTAGCAAATGGTCGAGAAGTTTATAGTTCTAACTACGCAAATCATGTTGTAAATATTAAAAATCTTCTTGAGTATAATCCTTCATATG